GAGGACTACACCTTGTAACTTCATTATTACTCCATAGTTACATCTTCGCCTCTCATAAAATCAGTTGGCAAGAAGTAATTTGATTTTGTTCTAACCAGACTGCAATTCCTACATTTTTTATCAAATGTGATCATGTTACTGTGTTTATGTCCTGACACTCAGTTACTTCAGAGTTGTTTATTCCATTTAAACCAGCAACCAACTGAAATGAGATTTAGAAATGTTCCACTAGCAGTGAATTTCTCAAAGGCCACTAGGAGACTGTAAGCATACATCTGTTTCCATTTTCCCTGTGCTGGTTTTCCCTTTCTTTCGATGATGGTTAAGATTGAGATAATTAGTACCTGTGCTAATGCAAACTAAAGGCATTCCCTATTACATCTTTGGCCAGTCGCAGTATTCTTTGTGTATGGGATAGCTCAAGCTCTGATCACTGCTCAGTCCCAGGAAGGCACAAAGGACAGATGACTCTTGTGCATGTAAAAGAAAAACCTGAACTGTGTCCAAACTAAGCTAAAGGTACACACAAGCTTTGGAATAACTTCAATAGTGAGGTACAGTAATATGTGTCCGGGAATACTCAAAGGACCTGGATGATTTTGGTTGCTACATTAACCTGTTTCATTATGAGTTCTTTGGCCAGTCACACTATTCTTTGTGTATGGGATAGCTCAAGCTCTGATCACTGCTCAGTCGAGGAAGGCACAAAGGACAGATGATTCTGTTGTCTGTCATTGCTTCCAGCTGCTCCTTTGAATCTTTTTTTAAGTTCTTTTGCCAGAAATCCTTGAAAATTGAGTAGGAAGCTGGAAGGGATGCCTCCACCTCCATGACTGTTGCATACTGGTTGGGCGGCAGAGGAAGGCTTACCCAAAAGTTCTATTTTACTAGTTTCATCCACTTCCTCTGCCACAGATAGCTCTGTGTTTTTTCTCCTTCCACCAAGTCATCTGTGCAAATGAATTAGGGAAAGTTCCTCTTCTTCCATTCCTGTGTAGTTTGTTACGGAAAAATAAAATATATCTAGTCATGTAATTAAGGAGGATGACAAAGGTCAATTAATGCAGAAGAATTTCTGCCTGTATAAGGACTGAAGGATGAGGCTTTAACATACGTGCTTCCCCCCAAATCTCTCATCTCTAATGTGTTTATAATATAATTATGACTTCAACATCTCCTCCCTCAAATGAAGGCGTATCAAACTGCCATATATCATCTTAGAATAGACTTTTACTATGCAGGGTAGATAACCTTTGTTCTCAATGACAGCACTTCTAATATTTCCTCAACTAGCAACTTCTTGAACTTCTTATTCATGAGACAGGATATTGGAGCTGCCTCTTTTCAAGCTCATCTCTTCTACACTGGAGTCCATGCAGTTCTTGCTTTGGAGCTAAGTAACAGGAATGTGACCCTAATGCTATGAAAGGACAAACTAAACCTTCCGCTTATTTCAAGAGCCAGAGCTACCTTTATGATCTCTTCAGTGCTTCTGGTATTGATAATGTTTATGGCAGAAGCCTAGAGAATAAATAATTCTGCACTGGAAGGTTCTCTTGTTCTGAATAACATTCTTAAAATTCCAATTGACTCCAGGATAGAGTCCTACAAAATTTGTAGAAACTTCTGAAAGCATCAGTGTAGTCTCTATCATGGTAAAGCATCTGTAGCCCTCAGTTGAGTATTTTGGTGTTTTATTGTATGTTGTGTACTTCATAATATTTGTCTTGCATTACAAACAAGAAATAGAGAACATATTTGTGTCCTAATTTTGCTAGCAATCCTCTCTTTTAATATATCTAAGCACAAGACTGATAATTATAATTTCAAAAAACCCCCATTCTTCATAGCTTAGGGGCTTAAACTTTTATATTCTTTCTTTATTCTGAATGTATCCCGCAGGAAACAACTCTCTGTAATAATCACCTTGCCTACACTTCTTCAGTCACATATTACATTCTCTCTCCCACTTTCTTTCAGGTTAATATTAGTGTTTGTCAGCAGCAGACTTTTTTCTCCAAGGCTCTGAGTCATTACAGTAACAGTTATGTTCTCAATAGAGAGTTCAGGATAGGGAAAAAAAAAAAACAACCCTATGCCTACGTGCATCTGACTTAAAAAAACAGAAGGCTACTCACACCTTTTAAATGCCAAGTGTTCAGTTCTTTTCCCCTTGAGGGTTTTGGGTTGTTGCTTGTTGGTTTTTGTGGTTTTTTGTTTATTTGTTTTGTTTTGTTTTGTATTTGGGAAAAGTCAGGTGTGCTGCAGAAGGTTACTTAAGCTCATGGTGAAGAATTGGCTTCAGAGGGCTTTAGATATTTTCAAAGTGTGACAGCTTTATTCCAAGTACTTCTTTAGCAGAGGTTGGTCAGTTGGTTTTATGGTCTGGCTCACAGAGTTCAGTCTAGACCTCTGTAGGTATCTGTGTATATTATAAAACCATTTCACCTATTATCCTGAAAAGGGATCTGTGTTGACAAGAGGTCCAATCAGTAGCAGAGATTTTGCAAGTTTGGCTTCTGACAGAGCACAGGGAAGCATTCAGAGAGCTGTAGAATACAGTTTCTGGCTCGAGTTAACTGTTGTCCTTCCATGTCCTGCCCCCTGGGATGCTCTTCTGTTCTTTGGAAGCCTTCTCTGGGGATCATAGCTGACTCAAACCAGATCTTTTTTTACCTGAACATTTTTCTAGACATGTAGGCTTTTCAGCTGGAGGTAATGGATTTCCCTTTCTAAGGGTAGAGCTCTTTCAGGACTGCAGCTCAAATCTGAGTCCCCACTACTGTCCTAAAGACTTTGTAACAAGGCAGGCAAGGATTTCCCTCATGGTGATGAATGCCACAGAAGCATATAAATACACATGCATTGTTATCTTCCTTGTTGTTAAGCATCCCCTAGTCAGAGAGAGCTCTTAGCAGCTGTCAAAACTGCATTAGAATTCAAAATGAACTGTAAATCCCTGAGATGGATGAAGGCATTGAGATGGATGATTTTGGAATGGTCAGTAGAGAGGCTACTAGTGATTTCAATACTTTGCTTGTCAGTCACAGTGGAAGATAACAATGCAGAATGAAAGGGTGATGGCAAAGAGAATCAGAAGGACACACCAAAGGCTGAAGGGCAGGTGTTATAAACCACTCTCCAGCATGCAAGGTTGTATTTTTAAAACCATATTTCATACTGCTTGCAAATAAGCAGATATAATCTTTGGAGCAAGTGAGGTAGAGTGTTCCTGACTTCCATTTTTTCCTTCTGCACCTCTGTATTGCCAGCCCTTTTTTTTTTTTTTTTTTCCCCTGGCTTTCTGTTGAGGAAAGTCAGCTTGGCTAAACAGACATATGACCCCTGGTCCATAGATAATGGAACCAGCTTGGAGGGACCTATTATTCCGTAGTCATCACTGCAAATACAAACTCTCCAAAATGCAAAAAGGGAAGGTGCTAGTAATTCTCCAAGATGCAAAGAAGGTGGCTTGCACTGTTCTTGTTGTTTGGTTTTCCTTTAATTTGTGTTTAGGAATGAAAACGTTTGTCACACCTCTCAAAATAGGAACACAGTTTGCACAAGGCAGATCCACAACTAAGGTGGCACTGAGACACCTACTTAACCATATTTAGTGGGGTGCCAATATAGGAACTGCCATACCAGATTCTACTTGGAGTTCATATAGCTCACCCTTATCTTTGATACTGTCTGGATGCTTTGAAGAAGCATTTAAGAAATCTTAAGAGAGGAAACCCATGGGGTAATCTGCCCACAGGGAGTCTTACTTTCTGAAGTGTACCAAAAAACCCCCATAAAATAATTGTACTCTGAGGGTGCATCTTCTTGGATTTCTTCTTAAAAGCCAGACAACCCACCTTTGCTACTTGATATATAGTTTTCTTATACTGAAATGAAAATCTAACCTTTCAGAATCCACAGATTTGAACACCAGTAACATTTGGTGGCAATGGATTTCAGAAGACATTTACACATGATCTTTTAAGCAGAGTACTGGCAAATATGGGAAGACAAAGCTTGATTGCTTTCTGACACTCAGCTGGGGCAGAACTTCCTAGTCCACATTCATCAAAGCATCACTTTATCAATGCCTTCTTCAATTTCTGATCCACTTCCAGAATCACCACACTAAGACCTGCTGGAAGAAACAGGGTCCTGGCCCTCTTGTGAGAGATGCCTGTGCAACTTGATAGCATGGCCCTTGTTAGCCCCTAGTGCCTGGCTTCATCAGGATTCCAAACACTGTGCAGCTCCAATAATGCTAAACTAGATGAACCGGAAGCCACCAAGAAACAACTGTGCTATATTTCAGTTTATTAATCATGCAAGCCCACTTTCTGATATGGGAAAAGCAAATTATAATTGAAAATATCTGAGTAAAAAAATGTTCTGCTTTCACGGTCTATGGCTATGCATGTTTAAGCTATCATGCCATGACACTGTGCTATTTGATTTATGTTTTTACTGATGCTTTGACTGACTAGTTTGTTGTAATGTACAGCTAAATGGAGGAAAAAATCAGAAACTGTATCAGGCAACCACTCTGTATTTCATTCTAGAAAATAGCTGGCAATTATAATTACTCACCATGTTTCTGGCTCAGAATAAAAGTGGCATTACACAAATACCACACTGAACATTCATCGTGATTAGAAAATGCTCCATACCTTGGAGTGCAGTGGAGACATAAGAACAATTTTAAATGCAAATTAAATTGTGGGGGTAGCAAAGAGAACAGATAAAAGACAGTAAAACAAAGCCTTTCACTTTCCTCAAATTAGAAAGCTAATGTAGTATATATAAAAAAAAAAAAAGCAGTTCTACTCAGTTCTGTGCTAAGAGCTTTCATTTCACCATAATATAAAACAGCAGATCCGTCACCTTTCTCTATTCAGTACTCTTGATTTCGAGGTTGAAGTGAAAATTAGAAGCTGTTCATTCTGGCTCACAGACTGGGTTGCATTTACTTAGTCTTATTCCATGACAGTAGGATGGAAAGAGGTCAGTAACACTGGTAAGTACTTGTATCCTGCATCTGATTTTTATTTATTTATTTTTAAGATCTTTCACAGTGCTTTGGCTTTTTATCAGTGTGTAATTCCTGAAAAATCCCTACATCGTGTATTTTGTAAAAGGCTGAATCTTAAGCAGAAACGCAGTGATTCCTTGAGAATGCTTGTACCAGATGTTAGAGCTCCTTCAAGAATGAATTAATTACTTAAAGTAGGAATTCTGTAATAGGAAAGGTTTCTAGATAATCTGTATATTTCATAGCATCACAGGAATATTTTGTGTGTTGCTTTCTCTGTCTGCCTGGTTCAACAAGCAGTACCAGATAAGACATGAATCTCTTCAAGATGTTATTTGCATTATGTGCATAGCAAAACATCTAACAATCTCATTATTCTTCTGGTAAATGGTAGGGAAGGTAGATTTTACTTACTGAAAGCAAATTATTAGACAAAATACAATGTTATGGTTAATCATTATGAAAGACTTAAAAAAGATCTCAGAATATGAGATACAACAAGGAAGATCAGAGTGAAAAACAAATTGTTAAGGAAATTATGTAGATTTTTTTTTTCCTTGGGAAAGTTTTTATCAAATTAAAACCAAGAGCTTAATTTTTCTGGATGAAGGGTGAGGGGGAGTAGGGGAGATGATCATAGTGTCACCTCCTGTTGCTAAGTAACAACATCTCCTGGCCGTTTTTATCTGATAAAGGAAGTCCAGTTGACGTTATGCATTATTCATCAGAGTTCCAATCAAACAATCAAAACTGTTTGCTTACACTGGGGACATTTAGTAAGATCAAAGAAACCCTCCTTGCAACTACTGGAGCTTACACCGCTGCCAGGCAGTTCTCGCTACTCTGCAGTAAGTATCGTTTCTGATTTGGGAGTGCTACAGTAAAGTGAATGCTGAGGAATTTTGGAAGTTTTCTTACCAGGACAAGCTTCTGAATTTTAGGAAGGACTGCATTTTGACTGATGAAAACTGAATTGAAGGGAAAAGGGAAATATTTGGAACCCTGATTCTCTGATTTTTGCCAATGTAATTAAAAGAATCGCTTGAAGCAAGGGTCAGATTCCTGCCCCAAACCTTTCTGCTAGGTTTGCTCAGAAAAGGAATAGAGGTATTTTTGCATGTTTGTCTTAAAATAAATGTTGTGCAGAGCTGCTTGTATACTTATGATTATATACCATTGCTAACTGAGGTGTGGATGAGAGAACTAGCTTGTGTGTTTTCTGCAAGTTATTCAGAGTAGAAGAAAATGCAGAAGGTAGTAAGAAGACTGGAAAAGGGTCATGATAATGTGCATAATCCCAGGAACTCTGCCCGGCAGAGGCAAACCTGACTCAGTGTGTAGCTTGAACAGTTGTATTCTAGGATCTAGGCAGATCTGAGTTCCAGAAGAATGCCAAACATATAAGCCTTAGCTAAGAAGCTGTGTTAGGAGTAGCCTAACATTTCTTAATGATTGCTCTTGTCACATTTTTTAAAACGGATGGTGGGATGTTCTGTTGCTACTTCTGGTCAGTACAAGGGGAGAAGGAAGGCAAGGTTGGCTTCTGCTCATTTAGATGGAATGAAATATCCGGAATACTGTATATGCCAAAGCAGCGCACTAGAAAGGAATAAGCAGCACAAATGCTGTGTTTAATGTAGTTTTTTACAGTAGTGCCTACTCAGGAGGTGCCAGCTCTGAATCTGGCTAAAGGAGCTCCCTGCCCCAAGCTTTTCTGATCTTTTTAAGAACAAATGTAACAGGCAGGTGAATCTAAGTATGTAGTATATGAAATTGAGACTGTGGCTAGCATAAAGGTGGTGGTACTAGAAATCATGCTAATAACTGCAGTAGGACTTGTCTTTAATGTTTTTAGAAAAGGATTTAAAGCGAACACCCTAAAATAGAAAAGGACACCCGTGAAGTTCTATGAATAATGATTTGAAAATTATTTGACCCTAATATGCCAAATGAAGTACTTCAGTAACTGTCTACACAATTCTTTCCACAAAGAAACTCACTAGCTTTTTTCCATCTAACGTCTCTGTAATCTTTCCCAGGAATCTGACTGATCAGCCATACCGGAGTAGTGTATAAAGTTCCTTCAAAATGGACTACTTTTTGGATGTTGAGTCTGCTCAGAGACTCTTTTACAGCCAAGGAGCTCAAGGTAAGAAACTCTAGTACTGATTCAGAAAATTACTATTTCAACTGTACAGTTAAGATGTATAAGGCCAGACAAGGGCCAGTCCTTGTGGCTGATCTACCAAAGTGTACAGAAGCCACAGGGAAAGGAGTTCAAAATGTATGAGTTGTGAAAGAAACTATAAGAAGAGTAATGATAGGGTTGATCTGCACTCTCAGAGGATAAGGAAAGGTGTGAAAGCTGTTGGATGTGCAGCAGGAACAAAAGGAACTGCCAAGATCCAGAATATGCTCTTGAAGAATCCAAATGGACAAGTCAGAGGGGACAGCAATGGCTTGCTGCTAGATACGTAAACCTGTGGTGTCCTTCCCCTTCTTCCTTCCTTATTGATGCTGTCAGGATCATAGGTGGTGTTAGTCAGCACTGCAGGAATTGGTTTGGGAAATTCTGAGGCAGTCCAGCATGCTGTATGTAACCAGCAGGCTCTCACTGGTTTGCATCCTTCCCTGTGAAATCCCCCCCAACTCCAAGCAGCAGCAGTGTGAGAGAAGGAAAGAGTAATCAAGCTTCTTTGCTTTAATGTAGTTGAGACTTGTTCACGACACAGATGATATTTTTTGTAAAGTCAGTTCATGTTTTTCTCACCAGTTCTATTTCTGGATAAAATTTGCAGCTTCAGAAAGAAGGGGTTTTTGTTCCTTAAGCTTTAAACACAATATTAAATGGAAGAAAACTAAGAACCAAGTAGCTCTACCAGCCTTTTTTGTTAATACATACTGCCTGTTTTCTGGAAATGTAATCCAACTTTTTTCCATTTATTAATTTCATCACTTGCTAATGAAATTCAAAGTCCAGCCAATAGAGTTGTGCCTTCCTTGTGGAGGCCATTCTCTCAGAGCAAGACCTAATCCACCCAGGGGGGTACCACCATGGGGGCCAGTACCACCTTGGCTCAGCAGAGGTGCTGCTCCCTGACACACGCTGCATTGCCCAGCTGCTGTCCCACTTGTGGTAGATTTTCATCTGTACAAGTCACAGAAAAGCTTTCTTGTCACAGCACAGCCTCCCGCATTGAACAACAGAGGCAAATGCTAAGCACATCAAAATCGGGGGGCAGAGAAAATGGCTGGGGCACTAACTGATTTTGCTGGCTTTTTCTGCATCTCTGAAAAGCAATAGACACCTGAGTGTTGCTACAGAAGTAATATTAAGTTCCTCAATATCCCTTGAGAACAAACCTTCTCTTTTATAGAAACTAAAATTAATGAATCTGCAACTTACTGGTTTACAAGATATAGCAATTTATTGACAGCATCCCTGTGAACTACAAGGTACAGAAGGAGTATGTATTCATGCAATGAAAGTCTATTACAGTAATGTACACAAAGTGACTAATAGGCTTGTATACACAACCTTCACTGTAAGTATTTCCAAGAAGGCGAATGAAAAACCCCCATATTTGGAGAAATTGTATTTTTAGCATATAGCTTGTACTGATCGGTTAAACGCATGACTGAAATTTTAACCTTAGCCCCTGCTTGATTTTGTGTTTCAATGCAATTATTTTGCCTTTTTAAAATGCAAAATGAGGGGGAAAATCCACCATGCAGAACTGTATTCCTTGATACAGAAGTCATCAACAGGGGGTTGACCTTTAGATTTGTCATGCGGGTTTCTGTCCCTTGGCCAAAACAAGTAGGAACCAACACTGTGACCTGGGGATTTTTTTTGTCCCCCTGCTTGTGAATGTTTCAGGAAAGCTGCCAATGACATGCTTCCACTGTGCACCACAGCATAGCGCAAAGGCTCCTAAACCATAATTACTTCTACAAGTGGAAACAGTACATTGACATAAGAGCCAGGCTGTGCTTATGCTCTGCCCACTTCCACTTTTCACCTTTCTTTTTGCTCCTTTGGCTGAATTTTTCCTAGCTCCTGTCCTTTACATCTCTCACCACACATGCTTGTGAGACCTCTCCCCCAAACTCTATCTTCGTCTCTCTGGTTTTGAGGTCAGCTGCTTTACAACAAGCAGGGAAATTGTTCTAAGCACAGAAGTGACAACTTCTGTTCTACATTGTCAAATGATGCAACACAGCAGACCCCTGGCAACAGGAGAGATGCTGGAGTGGAAGGATGGATGGACAACCCTGTTAGCAATAGGTGTGGCAGAAGTGTGGCCTGTGCAGAGAGAGGTGGAAGGCTTTCAGGAGACTTTCACTGTCTGAGGTAGCACTGAGCACCTCTGAGGTGACAGAGATGGCTTCAGCAGGCTAAATAATAAACCTCTGAAAGAGTTTCATCATCAGGTTTTCCTGTAGCAACTGCCTGTATTGCCATCCTTAGCCCCAGACTTCTTGACGGTAGCATCCCCTTTCTCTGAGCTATCTTATCCCCATGCACAACAAGGAACTAAACCCTACTGAATGCGAATTGTTACTGCCTGCACAGCTCTGATAACTCCTGTTGTCCTTGTACATTGTGCCAAATTTCAAGGCTGTCTTCCAAAGAACAGGCATTTCTAGATGAGATTATGGCATGATTTCTCGAAACATGGGCAAAAATAACATTTCTTTCCTTATCTGCCTTCTGACAGTTAAGCTGTGTTAGCTATAAGTTTCTGGGCAAAAAAAAAACCCAACCCAAAAAACAAAAAATGCACTGAATGTGAGGCACCCATCCACCACAAATAGCACAGCTCAAGTAGCTAGTTTGGAACTGAATAGAAGGTCTGCAAGAAAGCATTACCACCAGATCTTCCAAATGGGATCACAAGTAACTGTTTGATCTTTACATAATAACATGATGCTCTTAGCAAGTCATGTTATCAAACAGCACGTGTATATGCATTAAAACTGCATTATGACAGGAATAAGTGAAAGAAGACTAGTGTTCTGCCATTTAATTAGAAACAGCATTAGAGCATATTACATGTATTATTATTATTATTATTATTTTAATTATATTATTAGCTATTGCATTACAAAATGTTCTTTTACAGACTGTAAAATTGGGGTTTATCACCCACTTACTCTTCCTGTGAGATTTGAAGATTTCTGCTTTTTAATCCTTTGATCCTACAAATCAAGAAAAAATCTCCTTTCCAATGTTTTCACATTAATGATACGACAATGTTACAAATGGCAGCTGTAAAGCAATCATTTTCATCTGTACCCACTCCTTGTGGGTGGAGGAAAAGGGAAGGAATAGGACTGTAAAATGTTGGGAAGGAACTCAGAGATATGATGGCATTGTTAGCAGATGTTATCAAATCCCAGCTGATATCATGTCTCATGTGGTTGAATGCAGGATACTGACCTCAGCAAATGGACTGTGGTCCCCAGCAACTAACCAGTTCTCAATCTCTTCCTACCTGCACTAACACCCACACCTCATCCCTACTCCTGCAGAAAGCTGCAGAACTGCCTTTTCTGCTGTAGGGTAGGAGGAGAGAGGTGTTACCTTAATCAGCTGCCTCCTCTCCCATCTTCTCCTTCTGCAGAAGCAGCCATCACCTTACTCCCGTGGGCCGAACACAGTACAGAGGATGTTTGGCCATTCAGGCTGCATCTACTGTTCAAACAGCTGTTGCCTGTTTCCTCCAAGGAAAGTGAAGCAGGAGGGATGGAAAAGTCACAAAAGCTGGATCTGGCAGTAGGATTATCTAGATTTAAAAAACTTTGTAAACGAAGCCAGCTGGCTGTAGTTTTCAGAAACAAGCCAGAAATATCCTGAACTCTGCGATTCTCCCTGTCTTTCTGTGGCCATATTTTGGGATCTAGATGGGGGGTGTCCTTGCCAAGTGCGCAATGCCTGCTGATGCATCTGCAAGTCAGAAACAGGAAAGAAGGGACTGTGATCCCCTGGGCTCAGGCCCTTGCCCTAGTAAAGTCTGAATCTGAAATCTAGGCATGACAACGTACTTCATTTACCAAAAAAGTCTCTTCCCGTTGGAGTGTGTGGAAGATACTAGTTATTCTTGGATATACATGTATTCTAAATCCAAATCTACCATAGTTTTCAGCCATGAGGTCTGAATGTATACAGTGGAACTTGGAACAGGATTTGACTCACGTATTCCTTAGGTGTTCTCAGTGAAGATGTTTCCACTTAAGACTTCTGACTAGTCTGGCATGTATCAGTGGAAAGAAAGTCATTTTAAGAGCAGGGTTAACCTAATCTTAGACATCTTCCTTGGGATAATATAAATCCTGCCTTATTTTCTCCACTGATTATGAAAGCCTAGACAGCTAACTTGAATGAAAGATGCCTATGCTAATGGCATTTGTTTGCATAGAGGAATTGCGTGTTGAGAGATGACACCTAATTCAGGAAAGGGAGTAACTTCCCCCAAATAGGTCAAGTTGGAATCTAAAGCTGTAAATGTGCAGATCCCATCTTGGATGTAGCCTGCTTTGGAGACAGGTCAGCTTTGATCTTGAAGTTCTACTTGAAAGAAGTTAGGCTTTGGGGCATGGAAAGAAAGACCTCCTATTTGACAGAGCTGAGAAGGCTGGCACTGAGGAGTAGCAGAAGCAGGCTGCTCCTAATGAAAAGTGAGCCAAGAGTCAGCAAGAAAGGCGGAAGCAGTGGTCTTGCCTATGAGAGGTAAAACGCTGCAGCATACAAGCAGGTCAGTTCTGGTGACAGTCATCAGGTTCAGCCAAGAGTCCAGATTGTCAGACAAGACCATGGTGATGAGGCAGGTATGAGGCCAAGCAGGACATCTAAGTCAGCAGTTTGGATGCAGATCAGTGAGGAATGTAGCCAGGCACAGCCTTGCTCAGCAGGTAGGCAATGGCCACAGTGCAAATGTAGCTCCCAAAAGGAAGGAAGGAGGCAGCTGTTGAGGCTTCTTGTCACTTTCTCAAACAGCTCCAAAGCTGATCAGGCATTCTTAAGCCATTGTCTCCAACAGCTGTGCCATATCAGAGAGCCTGCCTTGAGTGTAGCCAACTGCACTGTATGCAGGGAGTGCATGTAGGGCCATGGTGTTGGTACCCAGCTCTTACCTAGGCTTGATC